TCAATTTTGACCGAATGGGATGTTTTGAAAAATAGAGGCCGGACTTTGGTCTTTGAGTTGCCCACATATCCCTGGTTTTATAGGAATCAGGCGATGTGTAGTTCTAGATCCATCGGCGGAATATACCGATGAAGTCATTACAAGAATGGACACGAGATTCGGGATGGGTGAAAGAGTGGTTATGGTGAACGGTCAAGTCTGAGATAGTTGAAGGAACTGGAGCGAGGTTGCTCCTGCTAGGATAGCGGTTGCTTACTGGGTCACCTGCAGATAAAGAGATGCTACAAACATGTATTTGTGTGAAAATTTAAACATGATGCAGATTCCCTTTGGATCATGAAAGTTGTCTTCGGGCGGTTAAGGATGACGTCCTCAGACTATGATGTCCAGGGCCATGAATTATTCAGTGAGGGTGCAGGCCATGAAATGATGTTCTCGGGCCATGAAGATGGTGCCTCCAAACCATGACGCCTTTGAATAATGATATGCAGATTTGAGAGATCCTCAGGCCATGGCATGGTGTCTTCCGGCTGTGAGGATGACGCCTTTAGACTATGACGCCTTTGGACAGATTGACGATATTTCAGCCCATAAAATGCAATAATATGATGTTTAACAAGACAAGGCTTAGACTTGTGAGGTTGAGGGCAGAGCTTATCCCGAAAGAGGAGCAAATAGATAGTGCCAGATAGACAGCGGTTAGTCTCAGTGAAATAATGTAAATTGAAGGCAGAGTTTAGCCTCATGCAGGTATGGAAACAGAGCTTAGTCTCATGCAAATGAAGGCAGAAATTAGCCTTATGCAAACGTGGAGGCAAAGCTTAGCCTCATACAAGATGCGGGACAGGGCTTAGTCCCATGCAAATAGAAGGCAGTGATTAGCCTTATGCGAATATGGAGGCAGAGTTTAGCCTCATGCAGGTATAGAGACAGAGCTTAGTCTCATGCAAATGAAGGAAGAGATTAGCCTTATGCAAACGTGGAGGCAGAGCTTAGCCTCATGCAAGATACAGGACATGGCTTAGTCCCATGCAAATGGAAGGCAGTGATTAGCCTTATGCGAATATGGAGGCATGGCATAGCCTCATGCAAGATGCGAGACAGGACTTAGTCCCATCCAGATGGAAGGCAGAGCTTAGTCTTATGTAAATATTGAGGCAGGGCTTAGCCTCATGCAAGATGCAGGACAGGGCTTAGTACCATGCAGATGTGTCACGCCCCAAACCTGGGGAGGCTGGCTGGCACCCGGTGCTGCACTGGCCCGAGCGAACCATTCTGTAACTCATGAATATTCGACAAAACTAGAACATATATAGGTCGAGTTAGCTAAACACATTCCTTTCGTAACTATCATGGGCCCACATGGCCACAACTCTTAATGTACAATTGTAAGTGGAAAATATTGTATCACTGAACTACTATTCTTAAAACATGAATACATATGGGCCGTCAAGGCCTATGACATACTGTACAAAATGAATTTCTATCTACAAAGCCTCTAAGATTACTTGATATCAAATGGGACAGGGTACCGACCTACCCATAAGTCTGTCACACCTTCTTTTTACACTCGAGGGGGTATAAGGGAGTTTTTTCAATTTAAGCGACATTATTCGAAATGGGATTATTTATTTTATCAAAGTCGCCACTTGGAATAAATTGTGGTGTCCCAAGTCACCGCTTTATTTTAAATCCTAAATCGAGGAAGTTTTTTATTTTTTAAAGTCTGCGAACCAGAAATTCTAGATAAGAAATTCTGTTAACCCGGGAGAAGGTGTTAGGCATTCCGGGGTTTCGTGGTTCTAGCACGGTCGCTTAGCAATTTATACTTGGCTTAAGTTGTTTAACTACTCATTTTTAAGACCTATGTGCAATTATCTTTTTATCGCTTTTAAATAACTTGAATTATTCGTAATTAAAGAATTGAGTTACGCGTACGTATACTCTTTTCTTTTGGCGCATCAAAATCATGTCATGCGAACGTGTCAACGATTAATAACGCTTTTGTTGATTTATTAAGAAAGTTTGGTTGAAGGTGTGCGAACGCATCCCTCGAGTCTTTTTAGAGTTAAATTTGCAATTATATTACGCGAACGTATATATAATCGCAATAATAATCTAAATCGGGCCTAAAGCAAACTACGATAGTTCAAATTAATAACAAAGTTTGCGAAGGCCATGAGAAATTCAATTGATGGCACGCCCCAATTTTAAAAGAGTTATTATTAATTAAATGAGGGCCATGAGTTAAATAATTTTTTTTTATATATGGCACACCCCAAATTATTTGATCTAAATTTGTGATGGTCATGTGTTATAGATTTAAAGCATGGCACACCCAGATTTGTATTGTTAATAAGAGGGTCATGGATAATTTTAACAAAAGATGGCACACCTCCAACCATTAAGAAAAAAAGATTATACTTAATTAAACTTAAAGGGAATTCCATCTGAACTTTGGACTCAAATCACTGAATAATGTATAAACATTGTAAACAAACTATGAAATATTTGAGACGGAAAACTGGGCCAAAGGCAGGCCCAGTATACTATTTAGCATGGGGTTTTGACACAACTACCCACAAAAATAAAATTATTTATCTTTGTCTACCCATAAACTAATTACATTTCCTATCCATAGTAGTTTTTGTGGGGAATTTTTTCTTTATTCTCCAATTCTTTTTTATTTCTATGCTTCTTTTCTTCTTCTTCTTTTTTTCTCCTTTTCTTTTTTCTCGTTTTCTTCTTCTTCTTTTTTCTTTTTTCCTTTTCTAATTTCGTTTAACTTCTTTTTTTTATATTCTTTTTCTCTTCATAATCTAATTTCATTTACTGTTTTCACTATTTTATTATTCTTTTTTATATTATTACTAAAGAAAAATCAAATTATGTACCAATTAAATGTAGCTAATACAACCAAAAAATATTAATTAACATATGATACCAGTATAGTATATAGCTATACCAACAGGGTATACAATTGTATGCAAAGAGTTTAAAATTTTTTAATTCAATTATTAAACAGAAATAGTATTAGTTGTCAATAAAAATTTCAAAATATTCTAAAAGGATCTAATTGTAAGAGTATACCGTACATTATATAGCATACTATAATATTTTATTTTATTTATTTTGCATTTTCAATTTGCACCTCACGCTGGGTAAAAGCTTAAAGCAAACTAAAAGGGAAAAGTCAAGTGAATTTAGGGGTAATAAGTATATTATTATAGTATATTGTATATTATTACAGCATACTGTTACAATATATTGCATATTATTACAATATACTATAACAATATATTGTATACTATAATAGTATACTGTTGCTGTATAACTATATACTCCTATAGTATATTGTATACTGTAGTGGTATACTGTTAGGTAACTGTGTTCTTCTCTGATTATTACAATATATCGTTGCAGTATATTGTAAACTGATATTACTTTTACCTTGATACTTCATTGAAATCTGACTTGTCTGCCCTGCAAATTTTTATAATTATTTTGGTCTAATTTTACTTTGAGAATATAATATAGCTCAATCTCAGATATATGGCATTACATGAGTGTAACAAATGAAACAACCTTGGGATATGTTAAGTTACAAGTTGATGAGTGAAGGACCTAACCTACATATAAATTAAATAAAAGGTTAGCAAACGGAAAGGGATATGGATCAAGAAAAGTTACGTGGCAGTTGGTGGTTATATAAGGATTTAACTACGAATCCTTTGAATTTAATAACAAACAAGAGGACAAGAGAATTAAATAACCCATTAAATATCTGTAAATGGGTCTCGTGCCATAGACAGTTTATGTAATTATTTTAGGAATGGATAGAAAGGGGTAATATAAATGGCCGACGTAGGCATCTTGTGTAGTTTCCTCATTTAGCATTCCCTCCTCTTTTAGGCAAAGGAAATGGGCTGTCGTCCCCATTAGGTCCATGAATGAGCCCAGACGCAAACTAACAGTGAGATTGTTGCTGAAGGTTCAAAACTAATACATAAGTTACCACTCGAACTATGGATCAAATCCCCCTTACACACTTTTTGCGGAGGAAAATTACCTTGCACACTCAACCTTTCTAGAATGTAGCATTTACACATTTTTTTATGAGGTGACCTGCGCGTGTAAGTGAACGCGTTAAAGTTAAATAAGTAGTCCAAATTTTATTTTTTCTTATTTTTCTTTTAAATAAAAAGAAGAAAAAAGTATCTAAACCCTTCCCTCCCCTTTCGTCCCCCCTCCCTCCTTATCTTATCCAGATACCCCTTTGTTACACAAGTGACCCATTTAATTTTTTTTCTTTTTCTTTCTTGCTTTCACACACCTTCCACCATAGAAGAACGAATTTTCAAGCTTGATTTCTTCTTCTTCATTTTTTTTATTAAATCTGGGGTTGATTTGGTGTTTGTGGAAGGTGTCAAAGACATTATATTGGTCTATGGAGGAGGCAACATAGGCCGGTATTATCTTCTTAAGCACCGACGGCTTAAAGTTAAGTATTTTCGGCTTCAATTCCAACCAATTCGATTATTCCGATGAAAAGAAAGAGGACAAGTGATAAAATTCTTGAACTAGTTCTCTTTCTTAATCAAAGTGCCACCCTAATTTCTTCAGTGTTTATTGTTGCTGGGAGGAAGATGCATTTGAAATTACCGTGAAAAATGACCGACAGATGTTAGGAAGAAGACAGAGAGGGTTAGGGAAGATGATTGTTTTTTCATTTTGTTTTAATGCAAATTGAGGTATATTTTTTAAGTATAATTTTTTCCCCAAAGACATAACACGTGTCACACATTGATTGGAGTGTGTAATGCAATCTCTAAGAAGAAGTGGTTAATCCCAAAAGTAGTGTGTTATAGGCACACTTTGGAAAGGTTGAGTGTGTATGGTAATTTTCCTCCGCAAAAATGTGTAAGAGGGATTTGGTCCATAGTTCGAGTGGTAACTTATGTATTTTGCCATCCAAATTCTATAACATTGCATGGTAAGAATTAAACAATGGAAAATTATCAAATTTTGCTTCAAAGGAAACAGTTCCGAAAACTTCAAATTACCTGACTTCCATAATACATAAATTACATCCCAATTTGAACTAAATTATACAATACTGTACTTAATGAAGCATGAATCAAAGAGGAATTATAAATTTACAAGGCCCTAATAAATTAAAACTAACTGATGATGTGAATAACACTGCCATCTATTCAATTTCCAAATCAAGATGCCAACCTTTGGATTTGAACTTGTACCAAATGGACTTCAATTGGTTCCAATAGTTATTTATTAACCTGGACACCATACCTTTAGCATCTAATCAATGACAACAAAAAGCTAGTCTAAGATTTGCGAAGAAAAGAGCTAAATATGACATAGAGATCTCTTATAATTAAAGAGAGTGATTCAGTGACAAAAATTAGATTCTGAAATAAAAAAAAAACATAGCTGAACCATCAGCATCTAGACCCTTTTTCTTTTAACAACCTTTAAAATCTAACCTTGATTTATGGCTTGCAACAGTCAGATCCGCAAGACTTTAACCAAGTTATTAGCCAACAAGCACTTTCTATCCTTCAAAACCAAAAAAAAATTGCCATGCTCAAAACAGCTTGCTCATGACCAAGATTCTACTATGGCTTGAAACCAAAGAAAATACCAACAACAAACCAAACAAACATATTTCTGAAAGAAACAAGAAGAAGATCACTACATGATGGCATGTTTTAAAACAACATACATAACACTAATAAACTGTTCCCATTTGTTTTATTACTTTAACCATTACTCAAACACAAAACAAAGCAGGTTTGGAGCTTTGAATCAGCCAAAAATCCAAAGAAAATCACCACAAAAAAAAACAGAATCTGACTTCATTCATACTTAAAGTTCAAGGAAATCAGCTTCTATTCAAAATACAACTTAAAATCAAGCATACAAAGTTCAGAAAAATACCTATAAAAGAAAATGGGACAAACAACTCAAAGAAAGAAGAAGTCTGCAGCAGCTCAGCTCAAATCGAACAGCAGTGAATTCAAGAAACAAAGTTTTGTTTCAGCTTTAGGAAACCCCAGCAAATGACTCCAAAAACGGCCAGAAGTAGAAAAATTTTCTTCAGAATTTTTTGGAAAAAAGAACTGATTTAAGCCGTTTGTATTTTTTCACTCCTTTTTTCTGTGCCCTAATGATTGGAAAGAGGGTCTTTTATAGGGAAAATTAGGGCAGCAAATTAGATTTTCTTAATTCTATACCACCTCTCTTCAATTCTTATTTTGTTCACTTGGACCCCTTAAAATTTAAACCATTCAAACAATTATCTCACCCCTCTCTTTCCTTGAACCTTCCTAGGTAGTTATCTAAAATTCCCTAAATTAAAATCCCTATATTAGCCTCCCCATTTCTTTTAAAAATGGACTTGGGCCACCGGGAAAGCCAAAAAAATTTGGACCTTCATTCGGCCAAAACCTTCATTTAATGGGCTCGTACTGACAAACCCAAATCCAGGCCAAACAAACAAACCAACCAAAACTAAAAAAATGGCAATCAAATATGGGGCTAAGACAGTATGTGTATTTATTATTTTTGAATAGAACACATAAAAAAGAAATAATGCAAATTAAAACTAGATTAATTAACAAAGAGCCCAAAACTCCAATTTAACCTACTGAATTATAGAAAAGGGGAGAAGAGATTCGAGATTGTGACCACTAATTGAACTCATAGAAAAAGGGAAGGGGGGGGGGGGGGGGGTGTACCAATTAAACCTTAGAATCTTCGAGAATAACGGCGACTCAAATTCGAGCTCCGGCGAACCAAAATCTCGACCAAACAGTGAGAATTGCAACACGAATATTAGACGAACTTTCGTTCATGGCTAATGATTCATGCAGCAATCCTCAACGTGTGCCAAAAGAAGCGAGGCAGAGGCTCGAAGAAACTGAAACGTTCAAGAGCCAATTCCCGAAATTTGACCCAAATCAACGAGATAGGGCTTCTTGATATTCAAACAAACGAAGTTATCTTGTTGAAGAAAATGCGGAATTCACGAGGTTTTGCTATGGATTGAAGGTTTAATCAGAAAAGCTTGGGAAAAAGAGAAAAGTTTGGATTTTTAATTTTTGGATCTGCAATTCGGAATAATTGGGTGATCTTTTGGGGGAGATGACGGCGGTTGTAGGGTTAAGATTTAGAAGGATTTGGAGGTGCTCCGCCGCCGTGGGGTGATTTCCGGGCGGCGGAGCTATGGTGGAGACAGGCGGTGATTTGAGAGAGAAGGGGACCTAGGTTTTGGTTTTAAGGATTTAATTAGGGTAATGAAAATAAAGGGGGAAAGTTTGGTCGTTTAAAGAGGCCCAGGCAGCTAAACGACGTAGTTTTTCCATGCAACTATGTCGTTTCGATTAAAAAAAATGGGGCTGACCAGGTTTTGAATGGGTTGGTCTTGGGTCAAGAGGGCTTGGGCGGATCTGGGCTTGATAAAATGTGTAGAAATTGGGCCCAATTTCACAAATATAAACCCCTTTTCAACTCTTTCTTTTATTACAAATCTCCTTTTCTTTTTTTTTTCCTTTTTTTAATTAAAAAAATTCTAATAATTAAAAATTTTAAATTATCTAAAAATATGAAATTAAACTAATTAACTAAATATAAAAATTGTAAAAATCAATTAATTCTAAATTAAAAGAGGAAAATTAGTAAACTAAAAATTAAAAGACAAAAAAAATGTAAAATGGGCTATTTTGTGATTTTCAAAATTTTTATACAGTAAATGATTACTGATTAATTCTAAAAACGTAAAAACAAATCCTAAATGCAATGCATGATATTTTTATACTTTTTTCATGATTTAACTAAAAATTAAACATGCACAGAAATGCAAATAATTAATAAAAAATCTACAAAAATTCCTAAAAATGGAAAATAATTAAGAAAAAATCTATTTTCTTAGATTTTATAGGAGTATTTCATATAGGGAAAAATCACATACTCACAAAGTCTGGAGCAAAACTCTGACATGATGACTCATAAACTCGGTTACACTCCGAATGCGATGAAGTCTTACCAATCCTTCGATGAATGCCAACCTTGTCTACTATGAAGGTACTTCAAACTGATTACCTATACCCGCAGGCATGAATGCAACATTCCTAACAAAAAGACGTCAGTATAAGTAATATACAAAGTATGTAAGGCAGAACTAAAACATAACAATAAGTCAACATTAATTAAAGACATATAAGAATCAACCTGAATCTCTGAAGTGCCACAGTATATGCACACTTATTATACTCATATATATACAATGCTTCTTTCTGAGACTATTTCCATTATACATATCGTATGATGCATAGCTGCCCAAATGATTAGTGGTAACTACCCAAATACCATATTAAATGTATATAACGGTATCAATATTGTTAAACTTACAAGGTCGTATAATAACATAGTCACAAATCCTCTATAATCTCATGAACGGTCTTAATCCCTTCAAGTTCTTATGGATTACTACGACCTGACCAGTCGTCTCATGAGTTACCGCTCTATTTCCCCCATTTTTGATTCTTTATGCTTCGTTATCCGTGTTTTGTGGTATCGGGTTGGTGGGATTGAGTCCGAAATGATTTTTTTGGTAAGGTTTCAGACACTTAGTCTCCTTTAAGGAAGTTTAAGTTGGAAAAAGTCAACCAGATGTTGACTTATGTGTTATAGGGCTCAGATGTGAGTTCCAATGGTTCAGTTAGCTCTGGGAGGTGATTTATGACTTAGGAGCGTGACCGGAATGGGTTTTGGAGGTTCGGAGTAGATTTAGGCTTGAATTGGCGAAATTGAGATTTTGGCGATTTCTGGTTGATAGGAGAGATTTTGATATAGGGATCGGAATGGAGTTCCAAGAGTTACAGTAGCTTCGTTGTGTTAATTGGGATGTATGTGTAAAATTTCAGGACATTTAGACGTGGTTTTGTTTGGTTTTTGATCAAACGCGTATTTCGGAAGATTTTAGAAACTTAGGCTTGAATCCCATGTGTTTTGGGTGATTTGAGGCCGTTTGAGGTGTTTTGAAGATTGGTACAAGTTTGAATAAGGTTTTAAGATATGTTGGTGCTTTTGGTTGAGGTCCCGGGGCCTCGGATGAGTTTCGGGTGGTCATTTAGATCATTTTGATTTAATAAAGATTGCAGAAAAATGGTTTCAACTGTTGCAGGTGATTTGGTCTTCGCGTTCGCAAGAGGACCCTCGCGTTCGCGAAGGATCAGTAAGGGAGGCGTCATGTCTGGCCTTTGCATTCACGAAGGGTAGTCCTGCGTTAGCAAAGGGCTGGATTGGTAGGTATCACGTTCGCGTGAGCCTGAGTTGCGTTCGCGATGGGGTATTGCATTCGCGAAGAAGAATTTTGGTCAATGGAAGACTGCGTTCGCGAAGAAGGATTTTAGGCCTGGACAGAATGTTTAAAAGGTCGTCTTGTCCGCGAATGTGGGTCTATTTTACTCCATAGTTGGTCACTTTTGGAGCTTTTTGAAGTGGATTAAAGAGGGATTCAAGGGAAAACGTTTGGAGGTAAGAATTTTGGACTTTAAACTTGATCCTATTGTGAAATCTACCTAATAATCATAGAATCTAAGCCTAAAATTGAGGAATTAGGGCTTGAGATTAAGAGACTTTAAATGATGATTTGAGGGGTCATTTGGACTCCTATTTTAGTGTTCTTGATATGTATGAATTCGTAGGGAGACGAGAAATCTATTGATGTAAAAATTTCTGAATGTCGAGGCGTGGGCCCGGGGGTCGGGTTTGGCTAATTTCGAGATTTTTGGTATTTTTCGATTATTTTCGCTTGGGATTCGTTCCCTTGGCATATTTTGATGTCCTTGTTCTGATTTTGGATAGATTCTATGCGCGTGGAGGCCGATTCAAGGGGAAAAGGCATCGCAGAGTAGTTTTTCACTGGTTTGAGGTAAGTAACCATTGTAAATCTGGAACTGAGGGTATAAAACCCCGGTATTTGACTTGTTTTTGATAAATGCGGTGAAGCACATGCTAGGTGACGAGCGTGTGGGCGTGCACCGATAGGGACTGTGACTTGGTCCGTCCCGTAGCGACTATTCAGCCGCATATTTGATTTGGAAATCTTATATTATCCCTTATTTCAGTCATTTATACTGCATTATGGGCTGTATGCCATGTTTGGGGCCTTGTGTTGATCTGAGGGGCATTTTGACTTGTTTTCCTCACTTTACTTGCTAAAAGCATATCCTCAATCATGTTTTACCTGTTTAAATGTTAAAATTGGTTTTATCACTTTACTCCTAATTGTGAAGACTGTTTGGGCTGAGATCCCGAAGTTCTATTATTGTACCCGAGAGGCTGTGAGGTTAATGACTGAAAGAGGTTAAGAACCTAATAGTGAGGATATGATATGTATATATTATGGATCGGGCTGCACGCCGTAACGATATATATATTGGATCGGGTTGCACGCCGCAACGATATATATATTGGATCGGGCTGCGCGCTGCAGCAATATGACGCTTGGGCTGTAGGAGCCCCTCTAGAGTCTGTACACCCCCAATGAGCGTAGTCGACTATTATATATGGATCGGGCTGCACGGTACTATGATTTCTATTATTATGAGATACTAATGAGCCGAGTGCTGAGAGTGAGTACTGTGTGAAGAGAGTCGAGTCACGAGTGACTGAGAGGCTGCCCGAGGGGCCATATTCTGAGTGATTCCTTGCCCGAGAGGCCTTGTTATAATGTTTTCACTGATTTCACTCTTCTTTTAAATAAGCCTCCGTTTGATATACCGCTAAGTATTTCCAAATGTTTAAACTGGAAATTTGATTATATAACAAAAATTGAATTTAAACTGTAAAGATGACCTGATATTTTGTTGATTATCTAGTTATGTATTTTTGAATTGCTCGTCACTACTTTCAGTCCTTATTTACTCTAGTTACTTACCGAGTTGGCGTACTCATGTTACTCCCTACACCTTGTGTGCAGATCCAGGTGCCCGAGTGAGGGCTTTCAGCTGTTTCAGTATTGGACGGAGTCTTTAAGGTAGCTGCATGGCGTCCGCAGCCCTATTCTCTCCCTCTTATCTTATTATCTTTCCACATTTCCTAGACTATTGATGTATTAGGTATTCAGACTTGTATTAGAGGCTCTAGACTCGTGACACCAGATTGTTGGGGCTGTGTAGTTATTGTTATTTTGACCTT